CGAGGCTAAGAAGTGGGACAAGTCGTTTGGCGAGGTCGACCCCAATTTGCTCGTGGGCGACGGCTGGGCAGTCACGCACTCCTTCGCCTGGCGGGACTCTTTCGACATCTACCGCGCCGAGGGGCTGGCCCTGGGCTCGGCGCTCCGGCATCAGCTCAGGTCAGCGTCCGCCTTTGGCCGCAGGATCGTCTGTCTCGTCGACAACATGCCCCTCGCCCTGGCTATTGGGAAGGGACGTGGTGCCTCGCCGCAAGAGCGGAGCGTGCTCCGTGAGATCTGCGCGCTCTCGCTTGGGCGCACGCTGCACGTCCTCGCTCGGCGGGCCCCCAGCGAGCTCAACCCTTCAGATGGGCCTTCCCGCGGGCTGCCGTACATCAAGGCGCTCGAGTCCGACGTGGCTTCTGGCCTTGGTGCTCGCCTGCCGCGTGATGCACGCCCAGGCGGGACAGCGCCCGCGGGCGGCGAAGCCTCCGATGCCGACAGGGCGAGTGGCAGATATCCTGCACGTCCTCCAGGCGTCTGGCTCTGGCATCCTCATGGCGCCTGTGCCAGCGGCAGCGGCGGCCCGCCAGCGCGAGGCGCTCCGCGGCTCTCTGATGATGGGCTTGACGTACCTCGAGCAGCGGTCCGTCGGCAAGGCCACACTCGCCGACTACCAGAGGCGCGCCTCGGCGTTCACCCAATGGTGCCGCGAGCTCCGCCTGGACTGGAGCGAGTGGCACCAGCTCGACACGGTCGTGGTAATGTACTTCGACTACCTCTACTTCCAGGGCCACAGCGGGGACGATGCCTCTCGCCTCCTGGCCGCCTTGAAGTTCTTCCTGCCGCCGATCGGGCGTTGGGGCGACCAAGTACTCTGCCGTGCATCGCGCAGCCTGGCAGGCCGGGGCAAGTGCGCCCCTCGGCGGATGCGCATGCCCCTGCCGTGGCTGCTGGTGGCTGCGCTGGCGGGGGTGATGCCGCGTCGCGGACAGCTGGAGCAGGCCATCGCCATGATCCTGAGCTTCGCCTGCTACCTGCACCCGTCGGAAGCCGACCTCCTCACCGCGATGCAGATCGCCCCGCCCGTCGGGGCAGCAAGGGGGCTCGGGGCTCGCCGCGCTGCTGCTGCATCCAGGCGAACTGGGCCGCCCAGGGAAGACAGGCCTGTGGGACTTCACGATCGTCCTCGACACCTTCGTGTTCTTGACCCCAGCGCTCTTGCGCCTCAAGAAGCGGGCGCCCGCGCCGACAGCTCGGCTCTGGCCGTTCCCTCCAGGCTCACTGGGCACGTGCATGAAGGAGTCCGCCTGCACGCTAGGCCTGAACGACTTTCCAGTCCCAGCGCACGGGCTGCGCCACGGAGGAGCTTCCGACGACCTCCCCTCCAAGAGGCGCCAGGCGCTCGAGGTGCAGCAGCGGGGCGGGTGGGCCTCCGATCGCAACTTCAAGCAGTACGCCAAGCAGGCTCGCATCATCACAGAGCTGCAGCGGCTGGTCCCAAAGATCATCGCCTACGGCCAGGCGGTGGACGCCGCCCTCTCCGACATCTTCCTGAAGGGGCGCGCGGTGCCCGCGCCCAGCCTGACCT